AATCACTCTTCTTTCCCACCTCTCGAATTTCTCCCACTATGATGTTCCTCACCTCTGTGAAGTCCGAAGTCACCTAAAGGACTGATGATAACTATCAAAACGCCTGCCATTTGAAATAAATAAATTAATTAAATCTTTCCTTTAGCAGAATGAGCTACAATCCCGCATCTCATAAACAGACATCAAGGGATAAAGTAGTAAATATAGAATATTACGCCTAACAATAGGTCAAGCATTCAATAGTTCATACCAAGTGTCGGTAGTGTTCGCCATGAACTTCAGTACAAAGCTCAACACTTCTCCTTTATACTGGCCGCACAGTAAAGATAAGTTGAGTAGAAATTTTATGCTTTCTTTTAAATCGGTATAAAAAATGGACACATGCATTTTGCCAGAGGCCACGATGTTGCACCCTGTTGGTGCATAGAAATCAATCGAAATTTCACCATTATTGCTTAACACTTGACAGTAGAGAAGGGACAAAAAGAAGACCTTAGGGTAACTTGTTTTAAGTGACAACAGTCATTGAGACTATCTTCATTCAATGATCGTGGTCTTCATGTCGTCCCAGTTGAATAGAAGGTTGCAATCGTTAACCATTGAGCTGACCAGGAGCACATCAATAGGTGAAGAGGAAACTGGGTGGGAATTCACTGCAATGCTGTTTAACAATATGCAGCCATATTGAATGTATATTCAAACCATTCCCAGATTTATAACACAAAAAAAGAACGAAACTTTGCGTATTCACCTAATCTAATTATCAAATTCCATTAGTGAACACAAGCACACCTTTTTTTTAGAGTGGCATCTCAGACGGGACGGTCCTAAGTGTTCTTCATGACAAGCTGTCGTTTGTGCATTTTTAAAATGTAGCAATTTCAGCAAACTATTCTCAAAATAACCCCAAAATTGAATGGAAAAGTAGATGCTATCTAAACAGTACTTTCTAGAGGGATGAAATCTTTTTTGGAGGAGAGGGAATTTAGGCGAAGTATCCATATATATATAATATAAAATAGTTGAACCAGGGTCTGAGCAGATGTGGTCCTTGATTTCGCTCAATTGTGAAGCATTTTCTTACCCATCCTGATGCGTGAGAGGTGGAAGTAGATGGAAGTAAAGTTTTACGTTGATCGATATGGCAGAATGTGAGTGGGATAGAGGCAAAGATTATGCACTTCACCTTACAAAAAACTACCAAATGCTTTCGAGGAACAAGAACTACGCGACCAAAATGGAAGGACATCCAAGGCTTTTTTTTCTCATCTTTAGGGAAAAAGACGCATACAAAAAGAGCGACCACAAGGAGCAAAATCAGGATACGAGAGATCGAACTAGTTCCATTTTACACACTTAAAATAAGTTAAACTTTTATTGCTAAGTAAATAGGAGGTTGATTTATGAGCTAAATGAATACACTGATAGAAAAATAATAAATAGAAATCAGGAAAGGTTAAAGTGAAACTAACAAATGCTCTAAATAATTACACATTCATTGATACTTTTGCTTCACCATTTCATCAATAGAATTAGCATAAAATACTGTTATAATTTTGAAACTGTCAATTATTCAAATGGGCAAGGAAGATGTGTCATTGTCCAGAACTTTTACCACTATTAGGATCTGGTAGAAAGTCGGTATAGGAGCACGAGGTAGGCTGATTTTGCACCTTACTTGGGAAGAGTCGCAAAAAAACAGCCTTCATTCTGTCCATTAACTGACACTCTCGGCCCAGCCCATTGCACACACAACAATCCATCGAGTGAAGATTTAGGGCAGGTGGAGGGAGTTCCGACGCCAAACATTGGAGCTGGTATAGCGGCGAAAATTAGCTGGTAACCACTTTTAATTGTTGCAAAAATTGTGACTGAGGGTCAAATACTGTTGCCACTATACATAGGGTCTCTTCTTTAGTCAGGGCAGTGGGTAGCAATTTCACATAGGAATGCGAATTCAACTTTAGTCATATTTTGTAAAGAAGTGAAGAGAGAGGGATCGCATCAAACCACCCTTGCGAAAGAGGACTCACATCCGCAAAGAATAGTAGTTTGAGGAGAATAAGTCTACACGATTTGAGGGGTGCTTTTTGGACTTTATGCACGTCAAGCCATTTGACATTCTTTGCTTTCTCAACTGCGCCGTAAACAAGCTCAGATCTGACTGGCTATTGTGTTGATCTCTGCTGAACGCAGTAGCTTCGTGATCTTCATTGTAATTCCCCAGTTAATACCGAATTCAATGGAGTACTGAGTAGCAACCATAATATTTCTTATTATTTTAACCAAGATACTAATTATTTCCACCCATGATTCCAGAGGATTCCATTTACCACTAACTCTTATTGCCATCGGCCAAATGAATGAAGAGGGTTTTACAAGTTAAGAAGAAGCCTAGGGCTCGTGAACACCTTTAGCAGAAAAATATTATTCAGTAAAAGTCATCCACAATAGCCTGCAGGCGTGCATCAAACCTCTGGATCTTATATACTTTTGTATAAGATTTATATTGAACAATATATAACTGAATGTTTAACCCTTTAATGCCCGAAAATTTTTTTTAAAAAAAGTCACCCAATCATACTCAAGCGTGCCCCATAGCAGACTGATGCCGTCGACGTGATGAGTTTTGGTGACGTTTCAGGCGAAGGCCATAGACGTACTTCAAACGGCAATAGCAGCGCCTTCTGTTACGAGTCGGGTACAAATAGAGGGTATTCTGAAAGAGGACCGTACGGTCCCAAGGGTGTTAAAGGGTTAAATACCAGCTGCCATGCTTTGGCATAACAGGATTCACTGCATTTCACCTAGGGTGAGCGTTGATAAATAAGATGTCATTTAACATATCTTAAAGAGATCTTTCGTTGTATTCAAGGTAATGATGATGGATTATAGAAAAAATGAAGTATCGAATACACTATTAGAAGCATGGTAGTAGGCAAAAGCGGTTAGATCTTTATTTTAAAAAAAGACAAGAGCATTTCAAAGTCATTTTCGGTCGGATTTTGCCTGATATAAGTTAGTTTAAGAATTCTAAACAGATATAGCAATACAACTACTGAATTACTTTACTCGAATTTATTGTCAACTACATATCACAAGAGAGTATATAGAAGAGGGAATGCTAATTGAATTTGACTTAAGAAAGTTACCTTTGGATTCTCATCAATAATAAGAAACACTTGGGGATCAGATTTTTCAAGTGTAGTTAGTCATCCACATTAATTTCGATCTCGTGATTTTGGTTTGACAAACCTACCACATAGTGATCAATTATTGAAAGAATATTAAGAACCTCTCATTACAGGAGCTCAGCTGGTATTAAGAGAATCTCGCCTATCTGTCTAAAATCACAGTGTGTAATTCCAATCGGACTGTTTTCTTCTCTAAGATCTTGGTAGCATTTTCACACAGTTCCCAATAGGTTTCACACAAGATTATACTAGTAATTGAAAATAAATACACCATAACATGGTAAAATATCATGTGCCACTACATAACTGTGCTTAAGATTAGAACTTACAAGTTTGTAGCAGAGGTAAGGGCGATTGTGGAGATGGGGGAGAGGTTGGTAGGAGGATAAGGGGCGTCTCCAACGTCAGTAGGCGAACTGGCCAAACTTGGCGAAACAAGTCGGCAGATAAGGGAGGGCTGATAGCCTGGAGTCCACTGACGGACGCCCGTCCGAACGGCCACAGTTACTTTACCCTCCTGTAATGAGGATTAATCAAATTTCAGGATTCGAGCATATAAATATTTACATATGTTTAAAAAAAGTGAAAATTGGTTCAAATTTGAAAAAAGTTCGTTAACCCTAGGTCAGGTAAGTGCCCAAGACAACAAATTGAGCTTCGATCTACATTAAAATTTTCGTTTCCCAAAAAGTAAACACGAGGATAAACGACACTGGCATAGTGGATAGTCTCAAATTAAATGTTATAGCTAGAATCTTTACAAAAACTCAAGGCAAATTCAAGCGAACAGCCCCTCGATCTCAAAACTGCTACATAGTACCAATTAAGTGACATTGTTACATTCGATTCACACAAGCTAGTTCCTCAGAATTAAAAAAATATGGGATTACATTTTTGAATATGTAAACAGATATAACACCATTAATGAAAATAGATCTACTCAATTATTATTGAAATTGATTCAAATTTAAGTTGTTTAATGCTCTAATCAAGAGTGTATTCTTAGCGCTTTCCCCCTTATTTATTTAATACACCCTAGCAACGGGTCGTTAGCAGGAAATAAGCCAAAATGCTTTTCTACTCTTTCAATTCCATCAGGGCTGACATCAGTATTGATCGGTTGTCCTGTTGTGTTCCGTGTTAAGCTGAACCATCTATATGCGTGCTACTGCAGAGATAAAAGGGATTATCTTCCTCCTAAATTTACGGGTGACTTCTGATAAAGCCAATTTTAAATAGTGCACAGTCCATTTATTGTATCTACTAAATAGCTACATTGAGTTTCTTTTAACACTTCTAATTTGTGCACTCGAGGTCTGCGATAGACTTGCCCCCACTCATACGGCAAAAAAAGTCTATTAAACGGCAGTTGACTTCAAACTAACATGACCGCACTGTATGCCAAACTTCATCATTGCCATTGTACTCACCTTACCCTTCCCTCTCTACTTTTGTGACTTTGATGTTCATCCCCTCCGTAAGGCCTGAGGTTAACTAAAGGGCTAATGCAACTACCATGACAACTGCCATTTGATATAAATAAATTTGAATACTCTAATAACTAAGACTAAAGCTACTCTGGAATGAGACATTAGCTACCTTGTGGACGTCTCAATTATCAGAAAGAACAACTACTTCAATACCTCTAAAATCCTGTTATAAGTTCATCTTACTTTTTCGGCAGAGAGGTGAGCCAAAGAATTGGAGTGTGATGTGGAATTGGCGAGGTCTTGTTGATTCATTCGACGACCAGAAGACGAACTCATGATCGAGCTGGTTTCGTCCCCAGTACCTAGAGATGCTTCTACACCTTGGTCCTCCTCGTAATGCAGGTAGATATCAAGCACCTTTAAAAGCAGAAAGAGAAGATAAACATTAAAAATTCCCAGCGATTTCATCCAAAAACACGACTTTCTGTCATAAGTTGGAATAACTTGTTCAACACATACGATACATTTCCTGTTTGAAATAGATGCGGATTGATAAAACGATGCGTACTTTTAGCCAAATAATGTCCAGAAGTACTTTGTGTGTATTTTTAATATCCTAATAAAATGGTTCATAATAGGACAACATAACTGACAATTTTGAATTTTGCATGCTCAAGCGATGTGAGTTATGGAAAATAGCCTAGGAGATTCGTGGTTTTTGATCCAGTACGAGAAATGCTCCCTTAAAATGTCCGCGTTTTCATGAATATCCGTTTAGAGTAACAGATAAAAAGCTTTCTATTACATACATTGATTTGAGTAGAACAAGGTACATTTATTGAAAAACTCCAAAAAGAATGTTTACAATTGTCACATAAAATTAGAATTAACTCATTTGACAGAGAGAGAGACGTCTATCTGAAAGCCGAGAGGAAGGCAAAGAGAGAGATCTCAACATTTTGCACCACACGGAGGGTTCATATAGCCCTCGAACTGCCAATGCTGCCACCATAATTGGAAATGTCTCCTAATTTTCCACTTGTATACCTTTGAAAGCGATTAAGGGATAAATACAATGGGCAGAATTGCAAAAACGCATTTTCTATGGAAGTTAGGAAACTGGAATCAAATTTGTGAAACCAAGACATTGGAATGGGTATCAAATTAGCAGAGAATTGAAATCATACACCACAAGGGAGGGTGCTCATATAACGACCCTGTTGAAAGACGCAAATACCTCCTGCGATGCCTAACATCATAAACAGTTCAATTGTTTTGAAAAATAAAAAAAAACAGTCCAATTTCCCATCGAATTCTGAGAAATCCTTTGCAATTCAGATCAAGCGAGGAATAGACATATTGATCTTGATTGGATTTAGCCAAACCCTGTAAAAAATAAACCCAAAATGACAGAGCTCCAACCCCTTCTCCCTCCCCCCCCCCCCCCCCCCAAAAAATTAACAAAAATTATATATTCGACACCTCCCCAATGAGGTTAAGAAATGGTGAAGTATTTTGTGATAATATTTTTTTTGAAAATTGGTTACTGAAGGAGTAGGAAAAGGATGTCTATATTATATATTTTAGCGTATTATAATATAGTATTTCTTATTTTTTAGAGTCAACAGCATAGTTGGACATTCTAGCAATACCCAGGTAACTTAAATTAAACTCTCCTATTATTATTATTATTCGAACCAGGGGTGTGCGATAGATTTACCTTCAAGTGGTGCACCCTGGGCAACGTATACTCATACGGCAAAAAAGTCTATTAACTGGCAGTTGACTTCTGACTTCAAACTGCAATGACCCCACTCTATTGCATATTCTATCCCTTCCAAAGTACTCATCTTACCTTTTTTCTGCATTTGTGTCTGTTTGTCTCTTAAATCTTTGAATCTTTCTTCTGCTCCTCTCGAATTTTTCACACTTTGATGTTCCTCCCTCTCTCTGTGAAACCCGAAGTCAGCTAAAGGCCTAATGATAACTATCAAAACGCCTGCCATTTGAAATCAATAAATTATTCGAACCATCAAGGCACAAAAGTAAATAGAATGGAAGCATACAAAAAGGTGCGATTTAGTGAGAGAGGGTGCATAAAGGCGGAATCAGTCAAACAAATCCAATTGCACTCGAGGAAATCGACGAAGAGGCAAATGCCATGTTTACATCTCTCTATGCGATTATTCGCAGAAGCCAAAGTGAAGCACGTGAACTGTCGGATAATGTTACCCTTTCAAGGGTAATCATCATTTGTCACCCAAAATGTTCCATTACCGTGTCCTAGCTTGTCATGGATAGAGAATGGTATCACAGAGACTCCTTTGCGAGACATGAGTCTAATATCGTCTAATTTAGTCGTACTTAAACAGTGTGGTAGGATAATCCATTCACTTGAGACCTTGACTTCTGCGATGGCTGAAAAGTATGATGACCAATGTCATAGTAGAGTTCCGGTAAGTACAATGATAGAAATTCAAACTCATGTCCAAGAAGCCACCCAACA